GCAAGATCTTCGGGTTGCCAACTATCATTAACCACAGTTGTTCTTAGGAGTTTCACTTCTTTCTCTTCAGCTCGGGAACAATGCTTACAGTCCTTAGCGCAAGGTCTTCTGGAAAGTGCGTCGGCATTCCGATGGATTGCCCCAGCTCGATGTTCTGTGTCGAAGTCAAATTCTTGTAATCGTTCAATCCATCTAGCTACCTGCCCTTCAGGATTCTTAAATTGCAACAGCCATTTCAAAGCAGCATGGTCTGTTCTTAACAAGAACTTTCTTCCATAGAGATACTTGTAGAAGTGTTCCACTGCTTTAACTACTGCTAGTAATTCTCGTCTGGTTACACAGTAGTTCCTTTCCGGTTTTGACAAGGTCTTACTAAAATAACCAATGACTTTTTCTTGACCATCCTGGATCTGAGACAGAACAGCGCCTAACGCAACATTGCTAGCGTCGGTATCCAATATAAAGTTTCCGTTGCCAAGAGGGTAGCTAAGTATGGGCGCACTAGTCAGGGCCTTCTTCAATTTTCGGAATGCCTCGTCAGAATCTGAGTCCCAAGAGAAACGCCTCTCGCCTTCGGTAAGTCTGGTCAATGGTTTTGCGATGGTGGCAAAACCCTGTACATAGCGGCGATAGTATGTGCATAGTCCCAAAAAGCTTCGTAGTTCATGTTTATCTTTAGGTATCGGCCACTCTTCCACTGTCTTGGTCTTCTGTGGATCTACCGCAACTCCTTGGGAGGAGACTACATGGCCCAAGTAGTGTACCTTTTCTTGACACAGATGACATTTCTTGGGGCTAAGTTTCAAACCAGAGCTCCCTAGTCGCTTGAAAACTTCTTCCAAATTCTTCAGATGATCGTCAAAGGATTTCCCAACCACTATGATGTCATCCAGGTACACTAAACAGGTAGTCCAGGATAGTCCCTTTAACACAGACTCCATTAGTCTCTCAAAGGTAGCTGGCGCGTTGCACAATCCAAAAGGCATGACGGTAAATTGCCACAGTCCGGAGCCCACCGAGAACGCTGTCTTCTCTGTCTTTCGGCGCCATGTCGACTTGCCAATATCCACTCTTCAGATCTAACGTAGAGAATATCGTTGACCCCGCCAATGTGTCTAGAGTATCGTCTATCCTCGGCAGGGGATAGCTATCCTTCTTGGTAACATTATTGAGCTGCCGATAATCAACACAGAACCTGGTGGTACCGTCTTTCTTCTTTACTAGTACTACCGGCGATGTCCACGGGCTGTTAGATGGTTCGATGACACCCTCTTCTTTCATTTCTCGAAGGATTTTGTCAGCTTCTTCACGTTTGGCGAGCGGAAGTCTTCTCGGATTTTGTTTGATTGGTCGTGCATCTCCGGTGTCAATTTTATGTTGTACTAAATTGGTACGACCTCTATCTCCTGCTTCTCCTTTATCAAACACGTCTTGATACTTGATTATTAGGTTTCTCAATTTTCTACTATTTTCGGGAGATAATCCTTTAACGTTTACTAACTCCTTCACCATTTTGTCCGGAATTTTTGAACTCGAAACTTTGGAGGCTTCCACGCTTCGAATGACTGAGGAGACCGAACAACAGTACCCTAACAGGGTTCCCTTCTTCAAGGATACAGAATAATAATTCGTGTTCATTACTCTCACCGGTACAGTCTTCTTCGCTCGTAGCAGGGCTTTTCCAACAGCGACCCCTCGGCCGATTTCGCTGTCATGGTTCCTTGGCTCCAACAGAATAATACTCCCATTATTCATTTTACCTTCCAGGCAACCATCCAAAAATATCTCACAGCGCTCAGGGATCGAAACATCTTCTGCTACCACCACGCGAAGCGTCTCCTCACATTTTCGATGTAGAACCACTTCTTCTTCATTTATTTTCAAAATTCCCTGTTTGAAGTTTAGTTCAAAACCTTTAGTGGTCATAATGTCCATTCCGAGAATAAGTTCATCTTCGATATCTGCTACTAACACTGGATGTTCAAAACTGGTGCTCCCAATAACAAAATTAAGGTTTACTTTTCCATGGACAGCAGCGGCCCCCGTAGCAGTACGTAGTTGCCATTGTGTTGTTTTAACCTTCTTCGATGTTTTAAGAATGTCCGGTCTGATGATAGTTTTCGTCGCACCTGTATCCAACAGCATAGTCCGGAACTCTCCATCAACAAAACCATCCACAAAACTGCTGTTGAATTTGTGTTGTAGCGAGGCGACTTGAGCAGTTTTCGTTGGGGCATGTTGGGTACAGGTCGACGTGTGCCCCTTCATTTCGACCATTAGTAGTTTTCCGACCTCGACGAAGCCGGTTCTTCGTTCTTCTCCCTTACAACGGCTTCGCACGTGTCCCACCTGTCCGCAGTTCCAGCAACAATCGGTCCCTTCTTGCCCATGTACTGGTCCATTATCTTCCGAATAATCCCTTCCACGGATTCGTCAGAACATTCGTCGATGGCCCGTACTCTTCCTAAAGACCGAGAACTTTGTTTCGCGGCCTCAAATTCTAGGGCACGTGCTAAAGCATCCACCAAGTGCGTTGGGTGGGCTAGGAGAAGTGCTTGTCTTGTCTCGTTGTCACGTAAGTCGTCGGAGAATGCCTGTACTGCCAACCGCTCCATAACATTCTCTGGCGTAGCAGGGTACGCAAGGCGAACGAGGCGGGCTACGTCGGCTTCAAACTCCTGCAGAGACTCATTTGACTTTTGAATGCGATTTTTTAGCTGGGAATGACATGTTCCAAATGAGCTTGGCCGTACCTCATTTCTAAATGTCGTACCAATTGCTGATAATCTCCCTGTTCCGATGGTGACAATGTCTGCAGAATATCAGTCGCATCTCCTCGCAGTGCGACAGTCAAAGCGGTAGCCTTTTCAGCGATTGTCCATCCGTTCGCTCTCGCAACGGCCTCAAACTGGCAAAAATAATTGGCCCAAGCGGTCTTTCCGTCAAACTGTGGAGGCTTAATAACTGACTTTGAGATATACTTATTTTCGACTAGTTTCGGTGCCTCCGATGTTTCTTGACATTTTGGTGAATTTGCCTTTGCTATTTCTTGTTTTAAAATTTCGATTTTTTTATTTACATCGTCTCAATTTGTGTTATTTTGTCTTGTAGCTCCGTAGAATTCTCTATAATCTTTTCTTCTAATTCCCTGGAATTTTCTGTTATCTTTTCTTCTAAATTAAGTATTTTATTATTAAAGCTGGCCTGTATGTCTTTAGAATTTTCTGCGATCTTATCTTCCAAAATATTAATTTTATCACTGATTTTCTCTTCTAAATTAACTTCCAAGTTAATCATTTTACTATTCAAATTGTTCAAGTTGTCGTTTAAATTGTCTTGTAAATTTTTCAATGACGAGTCAAGGTCACCTTCCAGCTCAAAGCAAAATGTTTCAGGATCCTCACCTTCCTCCACCAAAACGTCTCTCAGTCTGGCTTGCAAAATGCTTTTCTTTCCATCTGTCTCGCACTCTCTCTCTTCCAATATGCATTTCAGTTCGGACACTTTCAAGTCTTTCAACAATTTTTTCAGAGCCATGGTCAGTCTTTTTATTCTTCTAGTCTATCACACACGCCACACTTGACACCAATTGTTACGTTTTTCGTCGGTTCCGTGTGGATAGAAAGTCACAATTTATTTAAACACTATTTATTTAACACTAATTAACAAAAAAACAATAACGATAAAAGACTTATAGAACTATTTACAAACGATTTATAACTAAGAATTTATTTTGAATTTTCGCGCGTCAACTGCACTGGTATATTTATAACTGCCCTCTCTAGGCCACTGCCGCCGGCTTTTATACCGACAGGTAAAAGAAATCTAGAATAGTCCAAAGATCGTTAGGCGCATAGAGAAGGTTTTCGAATGCTCTCGTATGTACGCGTCCATTCTAGTGGGTCTCGATTCTTCTCGAACGAATGAATCATTGCGGTGTCTATGCGATGTTAAGGTCATCCGAGGGCGGGTCATATTGTGAGGTTAGGTCGAGTTCACACCGGCTCGCAACAATATGGAAATCGTAAATCATACAGGATGTTCAAAATTCTACGCCAAACTTTCTAAAATATAAAATATTTTTACTTCGTGTTTTTAAAGGGAACACCCTGTATATTATTTTTTATTAGATGGAGAATTAAAAAATAGACATTTTTTGTATTTAGAGTATTTCAAAATTTTTAACGGTTTCGCAGATATTCCCGGTTTTGTATTTCATATGGCATTTTCCACAGTAAATTTTTATCAAAGCCACACAATGATTTTTCTCTCGTATTTTACCATTGAAATCGCCATATGAAATAATACTACGTATATCCGGAAAACTATTAAAAATTTTGGAATACTTTAAATACAAAAAATGTTCATTTTTTAATTCAACATCTAATAAAAAAATAATATACAGGGTGTTCCATTTAAAAAAACGAAGAAAAATTATTTTATATTTTTGAAAGTTTGGCGTAAAATATTGAACATCCTGTATGATTTACGATTACCATATTTATAGCAAAGTAAGAACAGACCATGTAAAGTAAATATCTAATATAGTTTTGATTTCAGAACGGTTCTTGTATTCTTAATATTTTTTTTAAAAAGGATTGAAAAATATGTATTTTTGATTTATTTTTTAATATCTCTGAAACTATCGAAATAGATTTACTCATATCTTAGGATTATGTAGAGTGATCTGACAGGAAGCCAAAAATGCAATAATATACAGGGTTTTCCATTTAAAAAAAAATAATCCAGATACACTCACACTTTTTTGAGCCACCCTATAGAAGTTAAAATATTTCCCGGAAATACATCCTGGTACATACTTTAGGTTTGCACTTAAACAAAATTCTCAAGTTTTTTATTCTAGGAGCTACATACAGATGCCCGACGCACTATTGCCGAACCCTGTATATGGTTAAATATTTGGCTGTCGAAATACTTTTTGTTCGATTTTTTTTACATTCGTTATTTATTTGAGTTCTCAATTTTTATACCAGTCTTTGTGTGTCCGTCTATTGTAGTGTCCGTGTTTTATATCTATGTTATTGAAATTTTCATTTTTTACTTTGTTTTATTTTATGAAACATGAAGAAATAAAGTAGACGCCAGAGTATCAAGTAGTAAGTTTTTTCTTCTTTTAACAGGAATAGAACCATTCGGTTTACATTTTTTGTATAGGTATATGTATTTTTTCTTAACTTTGGTACAAACTAAAGTTTTCAAATTGCTATACCTATTGAATAAAATTAGTAAATTGTTATTGGTTAGTAGCATTTAGCTACAAAAAATATGTAAATAAGAAGTGTCTGTCTCTTTTATATAGAAAGGTATTTTTATTACACTTAAATAACATTCATAAAATTAATATCTTCTTCTTACGGTCCCTTTTGAAGAGCTACTTAACTAAATAAACCATTGTTAGTGCAACATTAATACGAACTGCGGATATTTTGCCTATAGACCGATGTACCTGCAAAAGGATCAACTTATTTGAAAGACACAGATGCAAAAAGGATTAAAAGATAATACAAAAGCAAATTGTATGAAGTTTTGGCCAAAATTTGGCCCTTCTCTTACTACGCATACAGAATAGTATCCAGGTGCACGAAGGCAGTACTTCTTTGTACCGAAAAGATGAAAAATCTACCTGACAGCCCTGTAAAAACTATTATTTGCTGTAAAAAGTTCATTTTACAATTACTTGGAGCAAAAAGTACTGTACCAGCCATCTTTGGTCAGGTACTAGGAAAGACATAGAAGTAGAGAATTTTAAAAATAAATATACTGTAAATTTTAGCTTAATTTTTGTTATTTCTTTGCATTAAGAGGAACAAAAACCTACGAAAATGTCATTCAGTGTATGTATTTGAACTTGTATATTATAGACAATTACAAATATATAATAATTATATTATATAATAATTATATCATTAATTATATCATTATAAAAATTTATAAATATAATCGGGAATGTATTATATTCCCGATTTTATATTTTAGGAAAGTTTTAAAATAGGTACCGTGAGACTCATTTAGTTCGAGGAAGTCGTACCGTCAACAACAACGATAATAATATCGTCGTTATTGCCGAAGATATAAAGAAAAGTTCTTACAAATGTTGCATAGGTTTATAAAGTTGCTTTTCCTAAAATAATTTTTTTTTCAAACGTCACAAAAGCAATAATTTTTGCGAAGTTATTGACAATATAAAAAAGTCATTGTATCGCCTAGGCATAAAACAAAGAATGCATAAAAGTAAAGCACTTTTACGCCTAAGCACAAAAGTACGAAAATATACATGAAAATATATTAAGTTTAGATTGGAAAGACCGTAAAAATTTTGGGTCGCGAAATTATTTTGGGTCGCGACCGTTATACGCGATCTGGCGCTGCTATAGCGGTCGCTAAGAACAACGGCAAACAAAAACAGAAATAATTTTCTCTTGTCAAAGTCAGAATCTTCAAAAATCGTAATAATCTTTCAAAACCTAAACCGCTCTCATTAAAGAAATTCCGAAAAGTGTTTATAGCGTCCATTTTCAAAGTAATTATTGCTATCTTGTGAGTTTAATTCAAGTTTTATTTACTCCAACCGGTGATAATTGTGAAAAAGTGGCATTAAAAACTTAAAAAGCTGTGCTGTGAACTGTGAACTGCAAAAACCATCGTAGATCGTGGCATAACGTCGGTTTCCAATGTTTCATAGGTATTTCATACATGCGTCCTTATATAAAATAAAGTTTCTTGTATGCAACACACTGTATTTTATTTATAAAATTAAACGAAAATAATAATAAATTTGAATAAATATTATTCGATATAATTCTGGAAAAAGCCGAACCGCTCCGAAATTTTCAAAAGTTTTGGGTCGCGACCGTTGCAAGAATAGCGCCAAATAGTGTTTACATTGTCCTTATGGGCACTTTCCAATCTAAACTTGTTTCATTTATCTATGAATATATTATTAAACTGACATAAAGTGTCAAATTCAACGAGCCATATAGTTTCTCGATATATAATTATATACAAGTTATTACTTTTAAATCTTTGTATATTATTTGAAACGTTTGAAATTGTTTAAAAAATATTTGTGGCGTTTGAAAAAAAAAGAACGTCAAACGTACAGCCTCGTTGCAAAAAGTGTCATTTTTACTCCTAATAAGACAATATACTATTATACGGGGTGTTTTAAAAAAAGTAATGGTAAAGTTGTAATAAGATAATTTGAGTATTTGTGTTTATTCTGTTAAGCTAAATTTAAAGCAGCTGAAGTTCAGTTGAGGTTAAGTTGACGTTCAAAATGTTCAACGCTATGAAATGAATGCGCGCATTTATAAAGTCAGTTTGTCGAAAAGTTGACAGTTGCGTTCAACGGAGTTCGGATATGGTCAATATTTTAAGTCGACAGTTCACGGCGTTCGGCAGTTGGAACGGCAGCCAATGAGTAAGCGCCTGCCGATCACGTGAAGCTATTATGTTTGAACTTTGAAAAATATCAAAACTATTTTTAAATCGAAAAAAAAAAACGTTCGATATGTTCACAATTCCAAACCTAACCTACAACCGAAACTGACAGTTTATAAATGCAAGAATGTTGAACCTCAACTGCCGGCGAATATCCAACTGCAACTGAACCTCAACTGAACGCCAACTCCCGAGTTTATAAATCCAGCTTTGTCCTTGGTGTTTCTGAAAATGTTCACTTTTCAAATATGATGTTTTTAACCAAACTTTTAGTATGTAATAAATACCGTATGATCACAGATTATACAGATTATAAACTTCCAATTTTCGGAGTCGCACACTAGTTAGGTTATTAGTTTGCGCACATACCACGCCCACTTATGCCCTCTAAAATTGTGCACAGCGCCTGACCGGCCCAGTTATTACGCTGTTTAAGCGCGAGTTTATTTTTGCGCACAGGAAATTTTACTCGTTTGCTCATCGTCATAAAAACAATTTTCGTACCACGAATTAGGGACAAGATTTTTATCTGTATACTATAGTATATACCTAATCTGTGGTATGATCGAAAACAGACGTTGTCCAGTTGACTTGGAAATGACGATCGTTGACATTCCCCATAATGTAAAATGACAGCGATCTTCATTTCATAGCCATCGCTGACGCCGGTTTTTTTTCGATCATACGGTAGCATGCTAACACCGCATATTCCTTTAAATACAAATAGTGTACCATAATATGCAAAATTTTATGTTGAATCCAATAATTCTATTCCAAAAAAATGGGAGTTGTTTTAAAAAAAACTATAACTTTATCATTACTTTTTTAGATACTGGGTCTACAACAAAATATTTTTAGGATATGCACCTTTTTATACAATGCAACATTTATATTAAACGTTTCTTCATATCTTTGTCCACAACGTAACGACGATAATCGACTTCCTCGCACTAATAGGCCATCCTGTGTGTAGAGAAAATATTATTTGAATTTATTTTAAGGCCCGTATCCAAAAGTGTTGACATATCTTAAAATCCCCTTTTGTTATAATTTCTAATTCAATTACTAATAATAATTTTATCAACTTAATTGTTATTTCCTCGTTAAATTATTTTGAGTAACCTTTTGAGGAAACTTAAGAGAAAAGAAAGGCAACATGGCAAGGCAGAAATTCGTCAAAATAAGGGTATACCGAGCTTATAAATGCCACCCTTACCGGCATGAGCCTCAGTAGTGTGCGATTTTTCTCGTAGTTGTGGCAAGTTATTTTGTTTTGAAATGTAGCAAGCTTAGGATACGTTTCGGTAAGTGAACTCTTATTAGAAGTGATATTAATATAGTGAACATAAATTTATCAGTATTATTTCAAAAATCATTCGTTTTTTCTTGCTTTTAATAATATTTATTATATAATACTTACTTTAATAAATAATATTTTACATTAAAAATGCTCATTTATTTATTTTCTCTGTTTCTAAATATTTTCTCTTTGAATATAAGCTGGTTTAATTTGGCAACGCCCAATAATACCCGCAAAATTACGGAAAAAATCGCCCATGAATTGACACTGACCGTGAATTTGGCCAGGATATTGATTTTATCACCACCCTGTAAAAAGTATTCTTCGGGCTGCGTATTGTGCGTGCAATGTTGCCGATGTTGCGAAAGTCGTTTAGAATCTTAGGTAGAATTCAAATCGATTGAAATTACGTGATTGAAAATGTAGAAAAAAATAAAAGTGTGAAAATATGGATCATCTATTAATTGAATTTAAAAGAGTACAATTTGTAGGTACTTAACAACAATCTGTTTTGAGGAATATTTTTTTTGTTTTTTGCGTAGATATACATACCTATTTAAAAACAAAATTATATATTTCTTAACTAATTTTATGTCTAGATTTAGAGAGGGTGTACCTATACATGTAATAATATTGTCGTTTCGATATATGGAACATATTCATTTTTTCCTATACTTGTCACTTATGATATACTTAACTAAAAATACAATATTTCGATATATTTATAAATTTGACAATCCCTACTCCCTCTCACCCTTCCACTTCCTATAATTGCCCTTGCCCATCGTTTCGAACAGCTTTACAAACGAACCATCTCTTCTGGGCCTTCAAAAATGCCGATTCTCGGAATTATCGTTCAAGGTCGCCATCTCCAATACCAAAAATGACGAACTCCGTTGTAGATTTGCCAACCATGTGGGTCTTAAATCAGTGGCGGTACCGTATTTAGAATTTTATAGTTGAAAAGCATTTTAAGAAAATAGAAATGTTATACAATTTTTTAACTAAATTTGATACTGCATACTTTTTCTATAAATTTTTCATTAGATTTTCTCTATATAATCTGATTTATATTATTATTTAACTAAATATTTGCTTATATCCTCTTATATCTAGTGCCGTAGTCAAGGTCAAAAGGCCTATATTTTCATTAACTACGCCTTTTGATCAATTAATTGCAGTAATTTTATGAAAATCAAATGAATCAAAAATGAAATGTTGACCAAAATTGCCAATTTTCATGACTGTACAGAGTGGCGGTTCTCATATGACACGGAGGCTCCAAGGAGAATGGTAGTTTATATCGAAATAAAATTTTGGGAGCACATTTAGGGTAATTGGAAGCATTTTATAAAA